CATGCGTTGTCTTCGCGTTACTTTCACTTTCTTCTATAATAGAAATACACCGCTGATTTTGGTAATCTAAGATTTTAAAAAACCCACTTATGAAGAATTATGAATTGAAAAAAAATTAATTTTACTGTTTTTTAAAATAAAAATATATCTATAATAATATTAATAATAATTAATATCTTATCATTACAGATTACAGATCTAATTTATCAAGTGCAAGTTATAACCATTCATTCTTTTGTTCGTTCTTTCTTTCATTCATTCATACATACATTAGTTTGTGTTTTCGTTCAAGCATTTTTTGTTTCCTCATTCATTCACCCATTCATTCATTCATTTACTCATTCGTTCGTTCATTCATTCATTCAATCAATCAATCAATCAATTAATCATTCATTCATTCATTCATTCACACAACATGGGCACGATCGTCATCGCCATTGTTGTTGCAATTTTTACAACGTGAAGTGTTATCACATGATGTTATATTTTTAAAACAGCGTTCTGCTGTTGTTATTATTATTATTATTATTCTTGTTATTATTATTATTATTGTTGTTGTTGTTGTTGTTGCTGCTGCTGTTGTTGTTGTTATTATATTCTAACACCTCAATTATTCAACGCTTTACGACCCGATATCGCCATACTTCAAAATAACAAAATTGAGATTCTAGAATTAACTGTGTGCCATGAAACCAATCTAGAATCCTCCAGGCAATACAAAAGAACTCTAATTACTCTAATAATTTGCATTGTTGTTTAAATAAAGACTATGAACATTGTTCAATAGTTATAAACTCATTCGAAATAACGCCTATTGGTTTTTTCAATAAATTTAATTTGTCACTGTTTAAAGTTCCATGGGCGCTATCATTTAATGATAAATTGATAAACACTGTTATAAGATTATCGTATGACATTTACTGTGACAGGAACAAGCTATGATGCTAATTAAATAATTTTCACCGTTCTGCACTTAACTTCACAATGAGCAAAATGGTCTTAACCTTTAATATTATTTTATACAATTTTTAAAAATTTTATCATTATATATATATATTTTTATCTATATATATATATTTTTATCATTGTCTGTTTTTTTTATGGTGAAAAATAAAAGATGTTCCCATTATTATTATTATTATTATTATAATTATTATTATTATTGTTATTATTATTTCTTCTTCTTATTATTGTTATTATTTATTAATTGTTGTTGTTGTTGTTTTTTTTTAATTTTTTCTCATTTAATTTCTAACGTCAATTGTCATTGCTACTCACTTTTCTCCATCATTTTGATGTGCCCAGCAGTACACACTTTGAGTACTGATAAATGTACCGCTTTTATATCATATGTCGATACAAATACGGAGACTTATTTTTGAAAGTGTTGCCAGTTTTACCGATACTTTTGTACTACTTCAACTGTGCTACAGGAAAACGACCAAAATTTCATCCACAACAATGCATTCTGTAGTTTATATATAACATGAAAATTACCTCGTAACGATAGATCGTTTGAATCAGTGAACACAAAACTAGATTAAAAAAAAACAAACATGCAAGAGACGACGAAATCTAATTTCAAATCTCAATTTCACCATTTAAATGAACCCTAAACTTTGTTAAACTTTGCAAATTGAGATATTCAATAATAAAAATATGTCCACAAAAGTATCGGTATAGAGAATCGATTATTTTGCGCCTGAAACACAAGTACCGGCTACATCAAGTTCGATACTCGCTATCAAAGCCAATACCGAATATGTATTGTCGATACAATATTATTCAACTAATTCACATTTGATGTTGAAAACGTGCAAATTGACACGCACAAACTCATACGCACAAACGCACACTCATATACACATTTATATAAAAGAGCTTTAATGAGTGTCTGTGTGTGTGCAATCGTGCATGTGTAAGAGTGTAATATCTAATATTAGCGCAACATCTTTTGACAATAATCTTAATAATTACCATCTTTTTATGTTGAAGAAATTTTCTCGGAAGAAGTTTAAAAAATTTGCCTCATCACATTATTATCCTCTTCTTCGCCATCATCATCATCTTCTTCTTCATCTTCATCATCATCTTCTTCGCCATCATCATCATCTTCTCCATCATTTTCATCGTCATCTTCTTCATCTTCATTACCATCATCTTCATCATCATCATAATCATTAACAACAACAGCAACAACATTAGCATCATCATCATTGCATTATTTAGCACCACAATCATCACCACCATCATCAATACAATCACACTCACAACCACCTTCATTATCATCATCACCATCCTCATCTTCGTCATCATCATCATAAGTTAACGTCCACGTTTAGTGCTTCATTTCGAGGTGTTTCAGGCTTGCATCGAGGTTAAGTTGGCTTGTTATTATTATTCTTATTGT